ATTGCAGCGTGACCCTGAAAAGATCACTGAAGTTCCTAAGACCGCAGCATGTACGTTGATGGTATTCCATTGAGGGGAAAACAGGCCATCGAGCTCAGACTGCTATGAGTGATGATACAATCAGAGTGGAACACAATAAAAACTTCACTTGCAAGCAGATGTCCCCCCCCCCAGCAAACTAACAATATGATTCATCGTGATCAATTCAGGCGTGCTATAGCATAATGAGCGAACTCCACTCGAGTTCTCACTTTTTGACTATTCAAAACAAACGCTCAGCTATTAGGCTGAGGGGTATAGAGGCAGAGTAAGAGGAAGAATAAATCGTACTGAATTGTCCATTCCCCTCACTGTGACGGCACCCCTTGCCCCGATGAATGAATCAGACGGCGCTGGTTGCATCATAAAGTGACGCTTATAAAGTCAAATGCACAACCGTGGAAATGTCATATCAACTAAGCAGGACGTGGCACGATCATGGGAATGTGGTACGCTTCCAATGCCATAGGCTCTTCGAAGCCCATGGTCCGCTGTTAGTTATGGATGTTTGGATGGCTGCACGACAGGGATTCTTAGCGCACACGTCTCTCCTCTCTTGCTTTCTTTTCACTCGAAACACCAGCTCTCTTTGGAGCCCCTCTTGAAAACAACCCTGCGTTCGAAACTATCACACCACTTTTACGCGACCCTTAAACAAAGTGAAAAGGATAGGCCTATAAATGTCCTCAGAACCTGCCCCGCTCATCATGAGGTCTCGTAAGAAAAATGCCCTGCTTTTGGCATTTGCGTCATCCTTTCCTTGCCGTTTCTCCATCTTCCGATGCAAAACGGCACTCAGTTATCCTCAGTTATCAGAAGAGGATTTTCAGATAGGTTGATTCAAGGGGAGGGATTTCGATGTGGGTGAACGCAGAAAAAAAACGGGTTTTTGAATCCTGCGAAAAGCAGGTCCCTGTCTTTTTCCCCACTCTGAAGTCATGCCCAGCCTTCACTCGATGTGCAGATGCGCAGATGCCTTCTTCGGAAATGGCAGTCCTGTCCGCAAGCATGGACAACGTACTACTTACTATCTCAAAAATACGCGAGGAAACTGTGACCCGCCAGTGGAGGCCGTGGCTCCTCCCACTGGCCGCGGCAACGTCCAACAATCGCTTTTGACTTCTTCCTGATGGTTCTTCCGTTACTAGCTCTCTCCCTCCATTTCGAATGATGAGAGTGAAGCAATAATGTGCATCCTCATTTCTCACCCGCTGATGCCTCATATGACATCAACAGGTGAGAAACTGTCCGGCCACGCCGTTTCTTCGCCTCATCCTCACGTGGAAGCACGGTTCAGCACGGGGTCCCATATGAAGCATCGCAAGCGGCGTTTCAGTGCTTCTTTTTTACTTCTGTGTTATTTACCATGTTGTCATTAGCGTTTGAGCAGCACAGCTCCTCATCCTTGAATGCGGAGTATGCCTTTGAAGACACTTCCCGCGATCAAGTGTAACAGGTAGCAGGTGCTCAGTCGTGAACCAGTAGCCCATCAAAAACTCATCAGTAGAGAAAGAAAGCG